GAGTCAGAGCCTTCCTGAGCCCCATCCTAGGCCCAGCGAACCAAAGCCTTCTCTCTCAGAACAGGCCCGTCTTTTCCCAACTCCCCCAGCAGGGACTTGGCCAGACCATCTTCCGAGCTCTGCTGTCACCGGTACCTCACCACCCCTGCCCTCCCAACCACTCCACCCACCTGTGTTTGCAGGGCACCAACCCCCCGCAAGATCTGGCCACTTTCCTCCCCAAACACAAGAGCCTCTGCGCCCTGCGGCATAGCTGAGAGTCCTCCACCCTGCAGGAGGAGACAGACAGAGGCCCTGGTCGGGGGTGGGGGTGGGAGAACCGAGGCTCATGGGCCCTGGTGAGGACCCACGCTACAGAGTGCTGCCCGTGAGTAGAATGGAGTGGTCGTGATCTTGGGGCTTCTCCCCAACATTTTATTATGAAATCACAGGGAGCAGTTGAAAGAACCATATCGTTAACTATACATCCTAGATTCTACACCTGTTAATGTTTGGCTTAGTATGTTATTACCTATTGTTAAAAAAAGTCTCTCTTCACCCTGGCTGGCGTAGCTCAGTGGATTGAGCGTGGGCTTCGAACCAAAGTGTCGCAGGTTCGATTCCCAGTCAGGGCACATGCCTGGGTTGCAGGCCATGACCCCCAGCAACCGCACATTGATGTTTTTCTCTCTCTCTCTCCCTCTTTCTCTTTCCCTTCCCTCTCTAAAAAATAAATAAATAAAATCTTTTTTAAAAAGCTTATTTAAAAAAAAGTCTCTCCATCCACCTATGAATACATTTTATTTGTTATGCATTCCAGGTAAGCTGCAAATACTTGATCTTAGTTCTTAAATATAATCAGGTGGAACAGCTCCATGTAGCCCTAACCAGAGTTAAACCAAAGACATTCACGGCTGCAAGTTTTTCTGAGAGGAGTTACAGACCCATGTGCTAGCCAGAAAAGGACCAGACCCTGGGGATTAACCACTGGGGCTTAGACGTCAGGGCTAGATGAGGAAGGCCAGGTGTCCGTAGTCTGGCATTGATGGACTCTTTCATGCAGACAACCTGGGAAAGAAAAGTTGTTTTGGAAGAGTTCACGGATAAAGGGGTGGGGGAATGGAAGCCAGGCTAGCTCTGGGGTAGGTGCAGAGTCCCCGAGGAAGTGTCTGCTCATTAGGATGGGCTGTGGGCAACCTGCAAACAGACAGTCTGGAAAGTTCACGTGTCAGCAGGAACCAGAGGGGCCCGGTGGTCGGGGGGCCTGGCCTGTCTCTCTAGATAACTGGGGACAGTCCCCTGGAAGTCAACTCCACCCGCTCCCAGGAGTGCAAACAGCCTGCTGCTGCGCCCTCCGGTCGGTCGTTAACTGATCGACCTCTCGTCTCTTCCTTGCACTCTCCAGCCTGCTGTCATTTAGGACGTCTCGGAATTTCTTTCTTACCATCAGTAAAGCTCAACCTTACTGCAAATTCCTCGCCATGGGAGTGATACTCAAAAATTGTAAAAACTAAATGGAGCTTAAAGGTTGTCAAGAAATGGCAATTCCCTACACTGAGCCAGTCCTCATGAAAATCTTGAAAGATCGGGGCTGGATGTGTCTCGCAGACGGAGAAGCCTTCCTCGAGAGGGGAGATTTGCCCAAGGTCCCTCTAAAGCTGACGAGGTGGCCACATTCTGGGACACACGACTCTGGGCTCCACCCCGCTGCACAGGCACCTGGGTCGGGCCGGGGCATGGAGGACACCCGGGTCTGGCTTTGCCGTCGCTTGCACCGATGGTCACGCTCACCGTGAATTAAGCTCCGGTGCGGCAGCTGGCAACGTGGACTGGCAAGTGCGGCTCCGGCGCAGCCCCCTCCGAGCGGAACCCTGGCTGACGCACCTCGGCAGGAGCTGCTCTGTGGCCAGGAAACTCACCCCAACCCCAGGGAGCCTTGACTTGAGAGTCAGGCGCCAAGATGCGACCAAGAACACAGACCTCTGTGATTTTGGGGGAAAAAAACACTAAATCCATGTGAACACGTGTAAAAAAGCCTAGATCCCAATAAACAGGGAAATGACCATGGCACAGTCACTAAAAATATTGAAAATCTCCAAGTTGTATCGATAGCCATTCAATGCCTTTATGATCTACCAAGTTCCTACCACGCGTCAAGAGACCAAGGATATATGAATTCGTTCCCTGCACTAGAGAAGCTGTCAGTGCACACCTTTACACAACACCTCACGAGTTATTACAGGTCACACCAGCAGCCACTGATAATGAACTGTTGACTGTCGGCTCCTTGCTGGAGACTGGCTCTGTAACCCATACAGTCCTCACGATGGCCTTCAGAGGCAAGATAAACCCCACTTTAAAGGTGCAAAACTGCAGAGCCCTGGCTGCTGTGGCTCAGCAGACTGAGTGCCACTCTGTGAACTGAGAAGTTGCCAATTTGATTCCCCATCAGGGCACCTGCCTGGGTTGTGGGCCAGGTCCCCAGTGCGGGGCGCATCACAGGCAACCACTCGTTGATATTTCCCTCCTTCTCTTTCGTCTTCCCTTCCACTCTCTCTAAAAATAAATAGAAATCTGCCTTGGCTGGCGTAGCTCAGTGGATTGAGCACAGGCTGTGAACCAAAGTGTCGCAGGTTCGATCCCCTGTAAGGGCACATGCCTGGGTTGCAGGCCATGACCCCCAGCAACCGCACATTGATGTTTCTTTCTCTCTCTCTGTCTCCCTTCCCTCTCTAAAAATAAATAAATAAAAATCTTTTTACAAATAAATAAATATCAGTAACAGGCCCTGGCTGGGTAGCTCAGTTGGTTGGAGTGTCAACCAGATCCTTTGAGTTTACAGGAATCGGCCTTATGAATGCATAAGAAGTGGGACAACAAACTGTTGTTTCTCTCTCCCTCCTGCTTCCTCTCTCTCCAATCAACGATAATAATAATACCAATAACAAAGACAACATCCCACACAGTTACCTGACCTGGACCGCTGCGAGCCCCCACTCGGAGTGAGAAGCACCAAGGCCTTGGAAGCACGCCCCCTGCCCGGGGCTGCCCGTGCGGCCTGTATCCCTCTCACGCTCAAGCAGACGAGGCCAGCACAGACGGAAACCCACAGGCATCTCTGCTCTCAAAAGGAGGTGGTGTACTCTCGTAATAAATAGATCTCCATGATATTAATTGTAAAGCCTTAACCAGCCTGACACAAGCGGCAGGCTACAGGACATGTGACAGACACCAGTGGGGCGAAACTGTAGGAGGAACTCAGGGCCCGTAACAAGAGAGAGGAGGAGGCGGGGGGAGTCCCCGGAACGCGGTGATTCCCATGCGACTCTCACAGAGGACACACGGGAGCCAGAGGAGCGCTCCTTCTCCTGGCCTCCTCTGTGCTTGTGTTTTTTTTTAACTGACTTAATAATATATATTTAAAAATTAAGAACTATTATATGAAAATGCTTCTTATTCCCTTAGAAACAGAAATTAGACCAAAAAAAAAGAAGAAGGTTGGTATCATTATTTGCAGATGTTAACAGTATCTTTAGAAAGGGAAAAAAATCTTAAATCTCAAAAATCTCAATCAGAAAGTTGTTAGAAGCAATCTTCAGAAAACTACAGGATGTTGTAACTTTTTCAAAGTCAACTGCATGCCTGTGTCAGAGGCACCGGGAAAAAAGCAGGCGAGTCCTTTGTCCAGTGACGAACAGCATTTGAGAGGGCGTGAAATTAACTTCTCCATTAGCTTTAATAAAACGATACAACTATGGCTTTAAGAAATGAGAGGAAAAGTCCCTGAAGAACACTTTACAGAGCGTGATCAAATGCAGGTGAAACTCATCTGGACAAGTGCACACAATGCTTTTTTAAGAGAGCAGACACCCACTAACCTTTCAATACCTATAAAGACAAATTTCAGAGAGGCTCAATTTTTTAAAACTTTTCATATAAATAAGTCAGAACTGCATAAAGAACAAGGACTAGTATTTTTCAGTACACGCTGTTGGGCCACTGAGTTCTCAGCATGGAGACAAAGTACGATACGGTAACAAATTCTAAATGAGTCAACACCGAAGGTGTGTTTTAAAAATTATTGTAAGCTGGGACAAAACAACCAAGAACAGCCCCTTCCTCCAGTAGGAAGAGAAGGACCTTCTGAACCCTGAAGAACACGGTGCCACCAGAGATAAAGCAGGAGCAGCCCAAGGTCTCCTTCCAGCGGTGTTGCTTCCCTGAGTCACACATTCTCCCGATTCTCTGCTCCTCCCACTTAAACAAAATGTGAGGGGGAAACAATTGCTCTTTCCTGTGACCTGAAGTGTTCTGAGGGGACAGTGCCCTGTCCCCTCTCCACCAGCACCCTGAGCTCCTGCTTCCCCCTCCCCTCTCCACCAGCACCCTGGGCTCCTGCTCTCCCCCCTCCCCCGCTCCACCAGCACCCTGGGCTCCTGCTCTCCCCCCTCCACCGTGCCACGGCAGCAGGTGCCTTGCAGAATGTCTTCATCTTTACAGCCCCTGCTGTGAGACAGGTGTTCTACAAACATGTCTTTAACTAATCCGTATTTTTTTTAACTTTCTGGAGATAAAATAATTTTAAAAAGCCAGAATGCAGAAAAATATACACAATGATAACACTTGACTTTCCGAACCATTACAAGGAATTAATAAGGTTGACACCAGATTCTAACTGGTAAGTGATTGAGCATGAAGAACAGGTTCTGTGCACATGGGAAAGCAGAGGAAGTTGTATCCTGGCTATCAACTGTCCGTTTTCACAGAACACTGCACTACTTTAAAACCTGTAAAAACTGCCCTGGCTGGTGTGGCTCAGTGGATTGCGTGTGGGCTGCGAAGCAGAGGGTTGCCAGTTTGATTCCCAGTCAGGGCACATGCCTGGGTTGCAGGCCAGGTCTCCAGTTTGGGGCCTGTGAGAAGCAACCACACATTGATTTTTCTCTCCTCTCTCTAAAAATGAATAAACAAAATCTTTTTTTTAAAAAAGCATTTTAAAATCTGTAAAAACTCAACACAGGTGGAGGCAAACCTGCTGCTCACTGTCCCCCGGTTCCCTTGTTCCGAAGAGCACCTGCTAACAGGTGAGGCCACCACACGTGACCTCAGGGGTCCCACTCCAGGGAGCAGGCTCTGAATTCATCGTTCCTCACCGGTCATAGATCAGGTCCCCTCCCTGCTTTATTATTTTTTTAAAGACTTTATTTTTAGAGAGAAGTGAAGGGAGGGAGAAAGAGGGAGAGAAACAGCAATTGGTTACCTCTTACGCATCCCCACGTGGGGACCTGGCCCACAACCCAGGGACATGCCCTGACTGGGAATTTAACTGGTGACCCTTCGGTTCACAGGCTGATGCTCACTCCACTGAGCCACAGCAGCCATGGCTCCCCGCTTTATTTGCAGCGCTCCTCCCTAAGTCTACATGCTAATTCTCAATTGTGTAGTCTCTGACCCCTCCACGGGAACGTCCCCTCCAGGGGGCAGGCCCCTGTTTCTGTCACTGTCCCGCCCTCGGTGCCCACAGCAGTCTGCCACCGAAGGTGCTGAGAGTTTGATGAGTGATGGAAGGTCCTGAGAAAACACGTACTTGCCCCCACTCCCAAGCTAAACTGAGGCATGGCACATAAAGTTCACAACAGCATCCTTTATGACCACAAAAGCCAGAACCTGTATGCCCAGAGAATCACAAATACGATATGATGACAGCATAAATGCCAAGCAGCCCTTCGACATTGAAAACTCAGTCCCAACATGTGTAGGCGGAGGGAAGAAACACAACAGCAACGTTCGCACCGTGGACGACGCTGTGAGGTGCCTTGTCCACTCAGAACGGGAGCGTGCGTGAAGCTTCTATAAACGCTGAAGCATTAATGAGAATCATCAGATCCCTGGACGGCTACTTTCTCTCAAGTCGCTCACACGCGTAGCTTTCGGAGGTCCTGCCGGGTCTGCGGTGCTTGGAAGAGAAGGGCAGCCGCTGCCTCGGTGCGGAAACCGACGCAACAGCCTGATGCGGGGCAGGGGTGACAGGCCGTCCCTTTCACAAGGACTGGAGTGCAAGGAGTTAATGTTAAAGAACCACCGAGAGTCCCCTAGTCACTGCAAAGCAGTGTTTTGTTTTTTTCACTTTATTTTATAAGTCAAATCCACTGTGACAAATTGACATACACTTTTAAGGCAGCGGTGTCCGACCTGCGGCCCGTGGGCCACGTGCAGCCCAGGGCGGCTGTGAATGCAGCCCAACACAGAATTGAAAATTTACTTAAACCTTTACATTTTTTGGTGATTACGTGTTGCAGTTTATTTAACGTGTGGCCCAAGACAACCCTCCTTCTTCCGGTGTGGCCCAGAGGCCAGAAGGCTGGACGCCCCTGGCGCCCACTCCGAGGAGACCCTGGCTGAGGGGTGAGTGTGGCCAGCTGGTCCCTCCCAGGTGACCAGGCAGCAGCGTACCTCCTGGGGTCTTCACGGGTGGGGGGGGCCAGCTCCTCCCCAAGGCCCCACCCTGCCTGGTGGCAGGAACACTGCTTATTCTCTTCCCGAGGCCAGCAAACCCGGGCCCCACATGGGGCCTCAGGTGGCCACCGCCAGGGTGCCAGGCCCTTGGTGGCCAGGACCCACGGAGCCAGGAGGAGCGGAAGCTGAGAACTGGGTGGAGGCCTGCCTCCCGTCCCCATGAGGGTCAGCCAGCCGGTGTTGACTCAGAGCCAGGCCCCCGACCTGCAGCCTTGAGCGTCCACACCCGTCCAAGCCTCCCTCCCCACTGGACCGAGGGGGAAACACCTTCACAAGATGAAGGTGAAAGTTCAATGAGACGGTTCACGGAAGCCACCAAGTGGACACTCACTTTACTCCAGCCACGGCTACCCCGCCTGACCCCTAGGACGCCTGCCGCCCGGGATGGCCCCCGGCTGGCACGGTCACACCCGCCCTGGCTCCGGGGCACAGCCACCAGCGACAGGCAGCAACGGGCAGCGACGGGCTCAGGCACGTGTACGGGGAGGGCTCCGAGGGGCCCCTCGCCCGGTCTGACGCCCCTCTCGGCAGAGGTGCGGCTGCGGGTTCCTCGTGTGCTCCTGGACAAGGCCCGCGACGGAGGCGCTTGTCACAGCACCGCCCGGCCACCCCTGGGTGACAGGCCGTCCCAAAATGCAGACACGGAGGCGAAAACACGCATTCCTGCTCGGCTGCTCCATCCTCTGCATCCGGCGCAGCCCACGGCAGCACGGCCTGCCCCGCGGTCCGCTCACAGGACGGCCGGAGACAGGCCTCTGGCGAAGAAGGACACGCTCTTGTCCTGTATCTTGTACTGGAAAGTGAGGCTCCGGTCCCGCCGGGCGGCGGTGGGCGGCGACGGTCTCCGCCACAGGATCCTCAGCTGCGGGGACAGGGGGAGGGTGAGGGGGGCCCCCACCGGCTCCAGCGCCCGCTCCACTGCGAGCGCTCGCTGACTGCTGCGTGACCTCCACTCCACTGGGGGCCCTCCCGAGGTTGCGGCTGCCCACGCCAGGCAGCGATGGGACAGACTTCCGAAACAAAGCCATTACAGCCAACTGACAATACAGGCAGGCTCCCCTCTGCTACGACAGGGATGTCACTGCAGTGACAGAGTGAGCCGTGGCATTATTTCACCGCAGCAGAGGGAGAAAAGCCTCGCCAGAGGAAATCGTCGGGGAAGTTTGCGTGTCCTCCTGTGGTCCTGTCCCCACACTCGTGGCCCAGCCCTCGCTGGCGACACTGGCTTTGGAAATCAGCGCCTCAGAATTTGCACATCCAGTTCAGAGCCCAGGGAGGCCGGGCATCTGGGGGACATCTCGGCTGACCAGGACGCTCTGGGGAGCCACGTGGCCTCAGCGCCAGGCCACTAGCACCCCCATTCTCTCGTGCCGTGCCTCGAGCACCCCCACAGCACCTCTGCGTTGCTTTATTTCTGCACTGGCCCCTGAATGACTCTGGGCCCAATCCCCTCCACTCTTAACGGGTCAAGAATGGTTCACGTGAAGTTCACCTGGAAGCTGTGGAGGGGCTTTGGGATGACTGCAAAAGAGAGGTTTCCGGAAGCAGAGAGCCACGGCAGCCCTCGGCAGGGGGACAACCTGACCTCCGCGCCAGGGCAGGCCAAGCTGCACCTGCGCACGCACTCCCAACACTGTGGAGGGCACCGGCGGGGTGGCGGCAACCCTAGGTCTCGGTCTGGAAAGGAGCAGGTCGCCCTGAACAGACAAGGCCCGCCGCCCTCCTGCCAGGGAGTCCTGCTGCTCAACGGTGGGGCCCCTGCACCCCCTGCACCCCGCCCTGGACAGCTGTCCCCACCTGGTCACACCTGGGCCCGCTGTGGAAGGCCCGCACGGGTGCACGGGGCTGGGCAGCCTCCAGGCCGGCTCCGACTCGCACTCCCATGACTTCTGCGCCTTCGGTCCCCACAGGAGGGACTCCCCATGCGGATGAGCCCTCGGCCCGGCCCTGCCCCGGGACGCCCTGCGTGAGGTCGGGACTCGGGCACCGGCACGAGCGGCCTGTTGCCCAGCGGGACCCAGCCCCACCCCCACGCACCTGCCCATGCACGCACCTGCCCGTGCACGTCCCTGCAGAAGCCGGTGGCCAGGCCCTCGGCCCGCAGGATCAGGTGGCTCTGGTGGCTGAGGCCATTCAACAGCACGTCACTCTCCTCGTCCTCGGCATCTCCGCTGTCGTGCACGAGGGCCACGATGCTTCCCTGTGGCAGAGACACGGGACGGAGCCAGCTCCTGACTGGGACGCAGGACCGGGGCACCACTGGACACCCACCGCCCACACACCTGACCTGGACTTCCAGCTCAAGCCTCCTGAGGCCAAGCTCGGCCCGTGCTCCCCTGAAGGTTACTGAGAAGTGCGCCCATTCTGTGGGCGCCGGCTCGCCCCCCCGACAGGGGACGCCATGAGTTAGAAGTCCTTTTGTGAGGCTCCTGCCCAGTTGCTAAGGAGAACGGAGGGGGTCTCTGTGGTCTGTTACGGGGCAACAGCCACCAAAACGGACTGCGTGTCAGGCAATGAAAAGTCCCGCCCACACAGCTGACGGCAGGTCGCCCGTGCCGTGCAGCGAACCGCAGGGACCCATCACACCCGCGGGCACGGTCACAGCTGCACAGTCTTTACATTGCTTCCTTCTCCTCTTGTTTTTAAAACTGCTCCAAGTTTTACCATGTCAACTAAAAGAAGTATCTTCCCAAAAAGAGGATGGTCGTGGGCCACAGGGCAAGCTGAGCTCAGGCGGCCCCTTCACCCCCGCCCCGCCCCGGTGTTGAACTTGCCCTCCAGGCCCCTCCGTGCTGGCCACAGCACCTGGTTCCCGGCCCTGTGACCACAGCCAGGACGGCCTCAGAAGCTCCCCAGACAGAGTCCGGGGGCACCTGCCTCTCATGCCGCAGGAGCTCAGCACGCACTGCCGGGTGAACGCACCCGGCTGACTCGGCTCCTCTCCCCGCTCCGCACCCTCAGCCGGACCACACCAGGCCGACCGCCGTCTGTGGCCGCCACCTGCCGCCCTGTCGCTGGGGAGCAGCCACGGTGGCCAGACGCTGCAGGCATCGCCAGCCTCATCTCACTTACCTCTCGCGGTCGGGTTTCTGGGAGGCAGACACCGCAGCCATTTCTGCGTAGGCTGGCCCACGCTCACAGCTGAAATCTCTACTGCGGACAACCTCTATTTCTGCCCGATGATTTGACAATAAGGTTACAACCTATACTGACACTACATCTCATTATCTCGCCTGATCTTTTACACACGCCAGAGGGACAGTGGCTTGCCCCAGAGGACGCAGGCCACGTGGCAGGGCTGGGGCCGTGTGGCCGCCCATGTGACCGGCCCATCAGAGGTGGTGTTTGCCATCCCTTCCATCCTGAGGGCGTGACTGTTTAGCAACAGCAAGTAGTGGGGGGCACGGTGGGGAGACCGACAGAGTTCAGGGCTGCCAGAGCAGAACTCACACCCCACACACGCAAACCCAGAGACCACCGCACGCCAGCGAGGCCCGGACCCGCCGGGCCGGGGGTCCCAGGCGGGGGCCCGAGCGCCGCGCCTCAGTACCTGCAGCGAGCAGCACACGGTGGCCCGGCAGTAGTGGATGAAGTCCAGCACGGCCACCGCCCCCACGCCCAGGCCCAGCAGCACACTGAGGTCATCCACCAGCAGCACCGGGCTCCTCCAGGCGGCCTCCCCGCGGTCCACGGGCTCCAGGGCCTCCCGCACAAACTCGTACAGCGGCTGCAGGTTCCCGGCGCTGGTCTCCCTGGGACACACACAGGGCGCAAGTCAGCAGACAGTTCCCTCCCCACAGACGCTTCTCTCGGACGGCGCGGCACCACAGGGAAGGGCTTGGGGGAGGCAAAGAGCTGCATCGCAGCCCCCGGCCCCACGGAGTTCCCGCCGGCTGGCCGGGAAAGGCAGGCGCACGCACGTGAGCTGCACCGCAATTTGAGTGCTCCCTGTGGCCCGGCGGGCGCCCAGCGCTGTCCCACACACCGGGACTCGAGAGTAAACAGCTTCCCAGGCCCATGAGGGACAGCCTCTCAGGCGAAGAGAGTTACGTACCTGGGAGATCGATGCGGAGAGGCAGGTGGGAGAAGCCTTCCCCGGAGGGCACCAGGAGGCATTAAAAGCTAAACAGCGACCCAGGTGTCCAGGGGTGAGAGGCCTGGTGTGAGGGCCACTGGCGTGCGCGACAGATGCGGCTTGTGTCTGAACACGCCGGTCCACCTGCCTCCGTGCCCCCGGTGCCGGCCGCTGGTAGCTGCTCCCCAGAAATGGACAGAGGCTCCAAAGGCCCCTGCCCCACCGCCCCAGGGCCCAGGGTTGAGCCCTCTAACAGCAAGGATGACGACCGCCTGCCCACACTGGGGGTCAGGTGTCACTCAGACAAGGACAGCAGACGCAGAGACTCGAAGAGCTGTGGGCACCGGGCCAGGGCCCACGACCCTCTGGCTCCTCACAGCCGCTCGGCCACCTCGGCCACTGCACAGAGCCGCGTCTGGTAGGGGGCGCAGGGGCGGCTGCTGCACACACCCCTCTGGGCGGAGGAGGCCAGCAGCCAGGCGGGGAGTTTGCTCAGAGCGGCGTCTGCGGCTCAGCTCGAAAAGGACGAGAGGCGGAAGCCCGACCTCAGAACGGCAGACCCGCCGGCAGCGCACGTTTTGTTAAAGGGCCGACGGCGAGGACAGTGTCTCAGGCTGGTGGGGCCCGTGCTCTCTGCCTCAACAGCCCAACTCTGCTGTCACAGTGCAAAACAGCCAGGGACGATACGCGAACAGGTGAACGTGGCCATTCCGATAAAACTCTACCTGTAAAAGCAGGCGGCCGGCCCCTGGCCTGCAGTTCGCCAACCCCGTGTCACGCTGAGAACAGAAGGGAGGAGCGCCCCGGGGCTCCAGGCCGGGGTGGGGACACCGGCCGGCAGAGTGTGCCGCTCCACCACGTTCTCGGCAGGTGACGCCCCCTACGGCTCTGGGACAGCTGTCCGTCCACCCCCTGGCCCGTGGTCAGAGCCAAGGGCTGCCCAGGAATGCTGCAACCCCAGACGGGCCTGACCCAGAGTCCAGCTCCGCCCTCCCTCCTACACGGCGACCCCCGCTGGCCCACCTGCCCCGTGAGCACCCCGGGGCCGGGCTGCAGGCTGACTGACCTGAGGAAGCCCAGCGGGTGCGGCTCCGCCTCGGCCCGGAGGACGACGTCCACCGACGACTTGAGACCCTCCAGGAAGACGAGCTGCCCGCGCTCCCGGGCCGCGGTCAGGCTGACACCCTAGACACAGCGGGGAGGGCGGTGAGTTACCGCCCCTGCAGGGAGCCCACCAGAGGCTGGACTCCAGCTCAGAGGGTGCAGCATGCACTCCAACCCCCGAGAGTGTGCCCCGGGCCCCCTCCCTGCAGGGCGGCGCTGTGTCTTCTCTGCCGGGGCGTCCCTGGCCCACAATCCCTGTTCTGTTTCAGATGTGCATTTGCATTTGACTATCTTTTCTTCATATGTTTATTTTGTAATTACCTAGTACAGATTTTAACTTACAATAGTAATATAGTTCCCTTTTCAAGTGCATGTATTTTTTTCTTCAGAGAGAGAAACACGTGGCTCCTCTTATCTGTGCACTCACTGGCTAATTCTTACATGCGCCCCAACTGGGGACCACCCCTGCAGCCCTGGTGTCTCAGGGTGGCGCTCCATCCAACTGAGCTACCTGGCCAGAGCCTAAATGCTGGTGCTTATAAAACTAAGCACACATTTAGAAACAGGAAGGAAATAATAATACGAGGGTAGGAGAATGACAGTCTCTGTTGCAACCACTCGACTCTACTGTTGGAGAGGGAAAGTGGCCACAGACAGTTTATACACAAATGGGTGTGGTTATGTTCCAATAAAACTTTATTTACGAGACACAGGGGGTGCAAGCTGTAGTGTGTCAACCCTTGCTCTAACCAGAGCTTCTCAACTATAGTTCTTCGTAAACCACACAACTAAAAATCTCTTGGGACACCTGATTAAAATGCAGATCCCTGAGTCCACTCCAGACCTCCAGAACGGGAAATCTGGGGGTGAGCCCAAGAGTCTTCGTCTCAGCAAACACCCAGGGACGGTGACACAGTCGGAGTGTGCAGCCACCGCTCCATCTGCGCCCCAGACCAGGGCTCCCCTGCTCTCCTTCCCACCAGCACCCGCCACGATGCAGCACCAGCAGCTCCAGCAGCCGCGCCTGGCCGAGGGAGAGACTCCCGATCATCACCTCCGCTCGTGGTTATTGCCATTCTGCTCACGTAAGCACCATAAGTCACGGAGAGTGCATGGAAGCGCACGGAGCACGACGCTCACTCCAGTACTCTGTGCACCCCGTACTGCACACCCCACCCCCGCGCGTGGAGGATGATTGCAAGGGAATAGGAGAGAAGCAGCCAATCTGGTCGTGAGAGCACACAGCTCTCTCATCCGGACACACCAGTGCTAAGGCCACAGAGGGACATGCTTCACAGACCTGGAAGACAGCTTGTGTTCCCGACACGACTGCCCTCCCTGCGCTCACACCGACCCCAACACGGGAACTTCCTCCTTGTCTGCAGGCAAGGAGAAAGAGCCCGCCCTTCTCTCACCCTCCCACTGGTGTCTCTGCATCACAAAAGAGGCAGCGGCTTGGCCCAACAGTAGGACTGGCATTTCAGAGGTCACTGCTGATGGGCGACCAGGTGCCCTCCCTCGCTGAGGCGACGGCCCAGGCGAGGCCAGGAGTTTCACTAGCCTCTTGGCCGTCACATGCTGCCCGCCCTTCTCTGATGAGATGAGGTGAAGGTGGCGAAAGTACCTCTCCCCACATCTGGGTCCCAAGCCCTAGACTGAGGGAGAGACGGAGAGACAGGGGAGCCACTCGGTGCCAGCCCAAACTGGGATCTCCAACCCAGCAGGACCAAGGTCAAAGCCATGAGGAGAACGAGAAAACCTTAACTGGCCCAGAACCAGTAGAGACGGGTTTGATTAATTAACAACAAAGCTGGTTCTGTAAGTTCTCAATGAACAGAACATGAGGAGACGCTGCCTGACCCCTTCAGATGAAGAGCTCAGGATCCCACGGTTTCCTCCGTCCCTCCCTCGCTAAGTTCTCCACGGCCCAAGCAGGGGAGCCCAGCCTGCGTGCACACCAGCGCGTGCACGGCACACTCACTCACTTGGAGGGAGCCCAGCCTGCGTGCACACCAGCGCGTGCACGGCACACTCACTCACTCACCGGACCTCCAAGCAGGGGTCTGAGGTACTCACCAGCTTCTGTCCCACGACGTTATAGTGACTGAAGGACTGGACGAGCGCCACAAAGCAGACTTTACAATTAGCTGGAAAACAGAACAAACTGATTTGGATGATCCCTCTGTTTACAATCCGTCTCGTGTATTTCATAGCCCTGGAAACAAGAGCAATGTGGCCCAGAGGTCTTACCACCCAGTATACCCGACTAGATTCTAAGATGCAATTTTGTGTTTTTGTTTGTTTGTTTTTAAGATTTTTATTTATTCTGAGATGGAAAGGAAGGGAGGAAGAGGGAGAGGAACATTGATGTGTGAGAGCTACATCAACTGGTTGCCCCTCACACGCCCCCAACTGGGGACTGGCCTGTAACCCAGGCACGTGCCCTGACTGGGAATCGACCTGGTGACACCACCCCCATCCCTGTTCAAAGGCCGGCACTCAACCCACTGAGCCACACCAGCCAGGGTTACAGTTAATTTTTAAAACTGGCCCTATATCCAAGAGAATACAAAGAAAACACAAAGAAACTCTAACTACCTAACTAAACATAATTAATTCTAATAATTTATCTGTAGATTCTCCTGCTCTTTCTATGCTAATAATAACATCATCTACAAAACAAGATAACTTTCCAAGTTGTAAGTTACTGTGACTAACTGTGGCAAAGGTCACCCTCTGTCCTGGCCTGGCTCAGCTGGGCCTCAGGGAGCATCAACTGATACATGAGTCTTTTAGTTTTTCTTTTCCTTTAGCAGTGTTCTTCTCCTGAGCTATTTCCATAGGTAAACTACAGTGACCATGCAGTCTTCTCCCCTGCGTTCTTCAGGAAGCACCTCCTGCAGGGGTCAAGTGTCAACAGGTAGAGATCTCGAGATACCCAAGGGGGGCCGAGGAGGATCAAGCAAACCGAAAGCCCCCAGAGGCCCGCAGAGCAGAGCGGCAGAACCGGCTCAGTGGGGGGAGGGGGGAGGCAGGACAGGGAGCACACGCCGCTCCTCCGCAGGACTGGGCAGTTACCTAATAAACCCCAAACCCCCGACTGGTTCATGCTCTCCCCATCACTTCCTAACACAGGCTTTTTTTCTCTCCCTTGCCTTAGGTTTCTTTCACTGCAGCATCAACCAGTCCCGTACCTTTGAGGTAGAAGGAGAGAAAGTGGTGCACGAGGAAACTGCCATCTGTCCCAGCGTCACACAGTAGGGTCAGTGTCCCCTGAAAGCCAAGAGGAACACGAACGGGTGAGTCAGACTCCCTGGAGAGAGGTCAGCTGACTGGGTAAACCTGGTTAACTGTGTCCAGCCTGATGTTTCAACACCTGAAGAGTATGTATTTTTGTATATGTGTGTACATCCATGTACACACACACACACAAATACACTAAGACCACTAAAAAAGAAGCCAAAATTAGAGAAAGCCCAACAATTAAAGTGATCAGTATTAAACCGCTCATTATGGGCCAACATCTGATCCAGCCTCCTCCCTATTTCCAATTCCGACGTCAGTTCAGCCCCACAGGGTGGGAATGAGCAAGTGGCTGCTGACAGCGACTTGCAGGAACCAAGTCCCCCGCCCCCCCACAATGGCCCTTCAGGCAGAGCGCTGATCGCTCTGATCACGGAGATCCCTGGAACGCCCTCTAAAAATGGTTTGTGCATGTCTGGCTGCCCTGATCTAGCCACCTCCAGTTTCAGGTCAGTGAACGGGGAAGATCAAGATCAAGCGGTATTCTGTGCTGTTGTGATTGCTTTCACTGATAAAACATGAAAGATCACACTATCAGACCTTGAGGGTTACTCCCCCTGACGTCATTTCCTGGTGCCCACTTTGATCCTCCTTTCCCTCACTCCAGCCCTGGGCTGAGGGTTTCGGTGGTGCCAGCAGTTAATTGGCAAGGTCGCTAGCGCCACCTGCAGGCTTGGGCAGGCAAGAACTGCTGGGCAACTATAAAATCCACAGGCATCTATTGAAAGCTACAATTTTCCTGGCACTACGGGCTTTTGGACGTGATGTCTTGGCTGCCTGGAGGAGTTTATCATTTCATTAGGAAGACAATCTGGTTTATTATGGAATAAACCAGATACGTTCCTGGGGGGAGGTAAATCGTGGGCTGAAATGTGAAAAATTTCGAGGTGCCCCAGAGTGCGGGAAGAAGAATGGAGAAAATAGAGGGTGCCAAAGGTGAACTTGGCACAAGGCAACGTTGGCTGAGAGCGGCTTGGAAAAGCACTATTAGACACCGTGAGGAGGAAGAGTCAGAGGAGCACTGGCGTTCACCGCGACCTGCCGCGTGCTCGCGGGCCAGGGGGGCACGCAGGACGGTAAAGAAGCGGTGAAGGGTGGAAAATCAAACTCTCCTCTCCTCTCAGGCAACCTCCTCTGGGGGCCGGAACCCCCACTGCAGTGAGCACGCACAGGGCTCCCGGGGACACATTTGTGAGCGGAAACCCACCCACACCTCTGGCATGGTTCCTAGGAACTTCCAAGGGCACACACGGCCTTCGAGAAGACGTGAGATGGCCCAGAAGCCCACCTTCCGCAGGTCCTAGTGTCCAGCCCAAGCCCCGGGTCTTCCCTCCCTGGACCACAACTCCCAGCCACAGTCATGCCCACTGACGTCACGTCTTTCCGACAGCAACAGGTCCGCGTGCACTTCCTTCGCAACGTGTTCCTCCGCCAAGCTCCTGTGACCCGCCCGCGGGACTAATTACCTGCTCCACTCTGTCAGGGCTGGTATTGAGAAGGTTATTGAGTTCCGGGAACATTCCGAGCACCGGGGACGAGCGTTCTGGACAAGGAACTAAAGCCGCTGCGGAGACGAGGCAGTACGGAGAGTAACACACAACACTCAGGTTCACGGGGAAGGAACGCGCGCGCTCGCAACTTCGCTTCGGAGCGCCCCCGCAGCCAATCAGGAGGACGCCTCGGCCTGGCCGTACCGGCGCACGCGCGATGACGCGTTTCCGGCCGCTGTTCTTCGGGGCGCTCGGTCGGGCGGCTCCCTACCGCTGCAAAAAGTTTGGTTCCTGCGCTGTTGCGTCTGCAGCGTTTGAGCCCTCGCGATGGCACCCCTCGAGGTCCCATGCAGTCTTATCTTTCCTTCGTTCTCGAGAGTTCGCTCCCCCCAGCCAGACGGCAGTCCTGTCCGTTCCTCCACACGTACCTGTCGCTCATGCTGTGTGTCCCACAGTTACAGAACGAGAGGGGCCAAGATGCCCGCCCTTGCACAAAGCACAAAACAAACATGATAAAACAGGGAAATACATGTTGAAAAGTTCAATGGAGTAGGAGTAGGATTCAGGATTAAAGAGGTTGTCAAGGAGACTCACTAAGAAAATGTGACCGAAGCGCACCCTGTGTGCCCTTCCTTGCACTAACCGTTCCCCCTTTCTGGAAAGCTCCATTTCCCGGATACTTAGCTGGTGGAAAACCCCTCACATCCTTCAGGTCTTTGCTTAGATGTCGCTATCAGTGAAGGCTTCCCTGAGCATCTTACTTAAACCACAGACCTCTTCCTCAATACTTTTTTTTATTTTTGTTATTTATTATTACATATTATTTATTTTCTCCCCAACACTTCTTTTCCCGTTTTTATTTTTCCCATGGGGTTTTTTATCTAGTAGACCAAAGATGTCAAACTAGGGGCGAGGAGCTTGGCGCTGCCTCAGGGTAGAAACGAGGTGCTGCCGGATAAAACAAGGTGGAGGGCCGGATTTGGCCTGCGGGGGCCTTGTGTTTGCCACCTGTGTAGTAAACCATACGTGTAGTTTCGTTCTAGCCCAGTCAGTCTTAGATCCTTTCTCTCTAAAGTCGGGTTTTTTTTTTTTAATGTAGAATAATGACTATGATTCAAAAAAGGAAGTCTGCGGAGTATCTTTTGATGAACCGAAATTTAACAAACTTTTCCTCTATTCTTTGAGCTCACTGAGTCTTCTTTCAGAAAGTTGTCATTACCCCAAAGGTCATACAGATAGCCTAGATTTTCTCCAAATGTTGTGAGATTTTCCTTTTCACAAGTAAGCCTTTAATCCATCTGTGATTGATTTTCATGTATGAACTAAGGGGTACAGATCAATGTATCCCTTTTTGGAACTAGCATATTTCATTTAACCTGGCTATAACTTAATTGGTATTGTATTGACTCTTTAGATTGAGGAGGATAGGTACCCTTTAATATAAAATATTGACTCTTTCTCTATGTATCCATTTTCCTGCCAATGGTGACGGGTTAGTTTGAGTTTTGTCCTACCACAGAGGACGTCCCCGTCAGCACACACAGCCAGGCCGTTCAGCACAGATGTGCAAGAGGTTCTCTAGGTGTGTATCTGGAGTGGAATTGTGGGGTCCTAGGCAAAGACAAATTTGCCATGAGGCTAATAAAGCTATTTTTTTATTTATAGCATTGTATTACTTCCCTTAAAGGGTATTCCTCTTTGACTTTGTATAAGCCTCAGATCCCCAAATACCTGAATTTTGCTCTCATCCTAAAACAGTCCAGTGCAGACAGAGAAAAATCAAACAGAGAGGGATTTGATGCAGGAAATTGGGTCAAAGGGTGTCGGAAGGACTGGAAGAACAAAAGGGAGAAGGCGATATTACAGAGCAGTTAGAAAGCAGGGACTCGGGGCTGTAAGCCTGCAAAGTATGACGGCCAGACTGCTCTCCCGCAGGCTTCCCGCTATTTTCCGCCAGGGAGACACTGGCAGCAGATTGGAAGGCAGGAAGAAGGAAGAAACCATTCTGGCTCTGCTTCCGGCAGCGTCCGCATCCGTGGGTGGCTGGGCTGCGGATGTGCTGGGGAGTTTCAGAAGCAGAAGCGCGGGAATGCAGGCTCCAACGGCAGCACCAATGCTTCCAGGGTCTGCACGCCTCCCAGCGTCCACGCTGTGTCCAGTCTTCTCACACCCTCCCCCCACCGGACCGCCAGCTCCTTTCCGTTCTCTTTCCAGGAGTTGGGCCTTCCAGTTCCATTTCCTTCCCTCCCCAGCAGGAACTGTGCCCTGGCACTCAGAGCTGGCTGGCAAGCTGCTGTGTCTTCACCCCGTTCTCCTCCTGGAAACAGCACTGTCTCTAACGCACCCTCCCGGCCCCAACGCACTCTTCAGCCCCGCTTCCCTGCTTCCGGTGCTGGTGTCCCTGGCTGCTCGCAGACCTCACAGGGCCCCGCACCAGACTCTGTTGCATCGTAGTTTCCCTTTGCCTTCCTGTCTCGAACTTGATTGACTTTCCTACAACTGCTGCCCGATACCTCCACCATCTGTGACAAGAGAGGTCTATAGTAGCCCCAAGTTGAAGGCGAATCCACAGAACCCCAAGACCCCAGCAAAAAGGCTGAAAGCAGCTTTGGGTAATCTCCAGCATGTCCACCAGAGGGCAGCAGGCACCAGCGAACGCTGCCCGGTTAACCCGCCCCCGGTGTTCATTAAACTCTGGCACGGCAGTATTTGGCCAGGGTCCCGCTGGCTGACGGCCCTGAGCTCCCCTCTCTGGAAGCCCAGCAGTGGACTCCCCATGGGCTCTCCTGTTCCCGAGTCTGCCTCCCTCAGGAATGTTGCCAGCGCCCTCCCCGCTCCACGGCCCCCTCCCGCTCAGAGTAAAAGCTGGAGTCCTCCCGTGGCCTCAGCAATCTGGCCCGCTACTGCTCTCCTGCTCAGCCCCCCTCAGCCCCTGCGGGCCCCTCGCTGCTCCTCGAGGCCTCAGTTGCAACCACGCTTTGCAGGTCGTAAGACGCTCCCTCCGCATGTCTGCAGGACTCGCTCCCTTGAACTCCTCCAACGCTTTGCTCTGTGAGACCTTCCCTGAGCACGTCCCACGTGGTGGACAGAGTCGCACCACCCAGGTCCCCTTCCTAGAGGGTCTGAAGGAAGAGCAACCGCCAGACAACCTCCAGCTCTCAGTCCCCCCAGGGCCCCCCTCGCTGCCCAGAGCCTTCCCTGAGGTCACACGCCCAAGGGCATCTGGTGGCTGAGTAGAGCAGGCACCTCCACCTGCAACCTGTGACCTGCCTCTCCGCCCAAGTTCTGCCCCTGCCCCACCTCACTTCCTCCCCCTTCCTTTCACAGGCCTTGACCCTGAACTCTACCCCGGCCTGTGCTTCCAGAGGACCTAACCTACTATCCCTACCATTGCCCTCCGGCTTCATTTTTCTCTGCAGAATCATCAACACCTAACGCACACTCCAGTTTGCTGTTCCCTTGCCTCTCCTCACCAGCATGTGAGCCAGGCGAGGGTGGGGATTGTGCCTCTTTTCCTCGTAAATGTAAGCCCAGCACCTAGGGGAGTGCCTGCGGTACGGCAGGCGCTAAGTAAATGTGATGGACGAATGAGAGCGACGCATGAGAGGGCGAGTAGGGCAAGGACGGTGGGGAGTTCGGTGCAGCTGGAGAAAGACGTGCTTTCCAGAGGCTGGAACGGATGAGGGAGGAGCGTCCATAGCCTGGCCCCCGCAAACGCTGAGCCAAGATGAGGTCACACACCCGGGAAGAGAACCCCGGAGCACAGTGGGAGACGGAGGAGGTGGGCGAGGCCTGGGCGCCTGGGCTGGGGCGAGCTGTCCAGGGGCAGGAGTGTGCGGAGCCAGGACAGCTGTGCCGAGGGCCGTCCGGAACAGCGCTCCTGCAGGATCCGAGACTGGGGCACTCTTCTGTGGGCAGGAAGCCCACCACTGGCCCAGGGTCACCACTGGCCCACCACTGGCCCAGGGTCAGCGGGAGTGCGGACCGCCTGCGCCCCCGAGTGTGTGCTGAGCCTGCGCACTGGACGGCGGAGGAGGCTCTGCTCGGCCGCGAGGCTGGGAGCACAGAGGGGGTGGAAGCTGGGGAGTCTGCGCGGTGCCGTGACTGCGGGGGCGGGGGGAGCATGCGGGCGAGGAGGCGGGAATGACGCCATCAGCCTGAGGTGTAGACAGGCCGTGGGGGCCACAGCACTGGCCGCACCAGAAAGGGCGGGGCAGGCGGCCCGAAGGGGCTGAGCCAGGCCTGGCAGTGGGGCGGGGGGAGAGGAGAGATCTCTCAAAGCCACGTGGGCTGGAGACTCTGGGGCGGGTGCAGGGCTAAGAGTGGGAGGGAGGCACCCACACCAACACGGGAGGGGGCAGGGGGTCAGGCTGGGTCCGCACGGGATGTGTTTGAGGCTCCAGGGGACATCATGGCGGACGTGTCCTGTGGCCCCGCGTGGGACGGAAACCAGGTGGGCATCGGTCGCTGCTCTGACCGAGAGGGAGGAGGGGCCGTCGGCCTAGGGCTCCCCTGGGTCCCGGAGGAGCCTCGCAGGCCCCCTGCAGCCCCAGGAGGCTGGCTGAGCTCAGACGTGACTCCACAGAGGTGGTTTACAGGAAGGTTCACTCCTGGCGTACGTTCCAGAGGTTTCGACAAATGTGTAACGACAGGGATCCGCCACGACAGCATCGTAACAGAACCGTTTCCCTGCCCTAACAGTCCTCTGTGCTCCGTCTATGGAGCCCTCCCTTTCTCCTGGCCCTCGGCCACCACTGGTCTTCAAGCCGCTGGTTCCACAGAGTGGCTTTCCCAGAATGTCACATGGTTGGGCTCACACGGTGTGGAGCCTTTCCAGACTGGCTTCTTCCACTTAGTGACACGCAGCACAGGTTCTCCCGTGTCTTTTCATGGTGTGATAGCTCGTGTGTTTTTATCGCCGAGTCACATGCCATCGTCTGGAGGTGCCACCGTTTATGTACCCACTCACCCACTAAAGGACGTCTCAGTGGCTTCCGAGTGTCAGCTCTTATGAACGAAGCTGCTACAAACATCTGCGTGCAGGTTTGGGTGTGGGCACAGGTTTCTCTCTCCTCTGGGTAAACGCCCTGCAACCCAGTTGCTGGGTTGAAGGGATGGAGTTTGGTTGGCCTGGTCGGAACTCACCAAGCTGTATCCGAGGCAG